TTAATATGGTAGTAAAAATGTCCGATAAAAATTTAATAAAGTGTAATAGCGCCTTGAAAGTCATGGAGGCAAAATGATTTGTTTTTTGGCCCGCCTCTACGGCTGAATCTAAACGAAGACGATGTTCATGAGAAACGGATTGGTTTCTGATGCCCCATTCACGCTCAACGGAACGACCATCTCTGAATGCTCTAGCTATGTGTACCTAGGTCGTGAAATCAATATGATGAATGACCTAGCTCCAGAGCTGAGCAGGAGGAAGCGAGCGGCTTGGGGAGCCTTCAAGAACATCGAGGGAGTAGCGAAGAAGACGAAGAACACCAAGCTCCGTGCCCACCTCTTCGATTCCGCGGTCCTTCCTGCCTTGACGTACGCCTCAGAGACTTGGACTCTACGAAAGCAGGATGAGCATGCGGTTGGCGTTCAACGCGCCATCGAAAGGGCGATGCTCGGAGTTTCCCGCTACACGCAAGTGAGAGAGGGAATCCGGAGCTCCGCACTCCGCCAACGATCGAAGATCAGAGACGCCGCCGCATTTGCCAAGGTTTCGAAGATCAGGTGGGCCGGACACGTCATGCGTTTCGAGGACGACCGCTGGACCAGAGCAGTCACCGACTGGATTCCACGGGATGTCAAGCGAACGCCTGGACGACCGCCTACGCGATGGTCAGACTTCTTCGTGAAAGCTCTGAACGAACGGTATGAAGTTCATCGTGTCCCTCGAGCTGAGAGAGTTCATTGGGCAACTCTTGCACGTTGCAGGGACGAATGGAGACGTTACTGGCGCCCGCTCGAGGAACTCGATGATCAACGGGAGCACAGGTGATACAGGTGATACAGCCTTCTGAACTTGAAGGCAGTGCAGGGTTCATGTAATGTTCCCACGCCTCTTTTGGATATGGTAGCCTCCACATGATGTTGAAGAAGTTTTCGTTTCCGCAGCTAAAAAGTACGAGGGAAGAGCGCTGCCCTCTCGTGAAGGAACTGCCGCCCCTCCTTCTGACTGCCGCAACTCCCAACTTCATTTCTGGTGGTTGCAGTTGTTGCGCTACTCTCTCCATTGCGAATGCTGAGAGTGCGGCGATAAGGGAAAGAGTTTGCACCAACAGTTTAGAACTGTTGCGATCGCGACCATTTCTTGGCCTTACGTACATACAAACACGGTTCGGCACGGGGTTCTATATAAGGCATTCTATGATTTCTTTTCTGCTTTTTTTTCTTCACTACTTAATCACTTGCTACCCTTTGTTACTATCTGAGCCGCATAACTTATCATTTTCGAAGCGGGCTGTGCCCTTCAGGTCGGGCTCTGATCAAGCTTTCAGATAGATTTGCCCATGCTTGTCTCTCATGAGGAAATCCAACCCTCACAACAACAAGGATATCACACCTGTTCAAAACGAAGCACGTGGACTTTCCCCCTTGTCAGCACTTTAGGTACAAGTTTCCAGGCCGTGATCAAAACACCAAGGTGGTGACGTCCGTTCCTCCAAGTGGTGCCACCGGGACCTGCTCGCTTTTGCGGGCTGAGCAGAACGCGGACAAACACGAAAGCAGGCGACAGGCCTTCGTGACGGGCCGGCTTACGAACACCCCATGTCACATCATCATGTTTAACTATGCCTTATGAATTTCGAGATAATGCTACGGCGTCCGCGGGAGCCGACGCGCACTCGCAAGGCCCGACGAGTGTGAAAAATATATGGTCCTCGTTGCAAGGACGGCATCGGGATGCCATCAGGTAGTCCGTGAAAAACGCAGGTGCAATGTTGTAAAACGGGTGCGTATTGTGCCACGCTGGTTATGGTGAGACGCTGAGCTGGACTCGCTCGGTATGAGTTAGCAGAAGCCCTAGAACCCGCTCCAGCCCGACCTCCACTCTGCCGTGCAATAGACGATGCATGGCTGGTTGCAAGTCGAAGGGAGTTATTGCCCACGGCCTTAAGCCGTTCTTCTGTAGCGGGCTTGAAATCTTAACAAGGCGGGTGTGGTCCTGTGAGTACGTTGTCTCAGCGATGTCGCCGATTCGAGATGACTAGTTCGCTTTTGACTGACGGCCGCTAAATTGATGGAAGACTGTTTGTCGTCGTTTATTTGCATAGGCGACTTGGTACCGAGCTTCTTCTCTGCATATGCCCCACAAACTGGATGCTCTGAGCAGTCCAAGGACGAGTTCTGGGCTCTGCTGGACGAGAAGACGGCTGAAGTGCCACCAAAAGACGGTATCATTGTAGCCGGCGATTTAAACGGACACGTGGGCGCTGCAAAAGACGGCTATGCTTGTCATGGCGGATTCGGCTACGGTTCACGGAACGCCGATGGTGAGCGAGTCCTTGAGTATGCAGAGTCGCATAATCCTCGTCATTCTGAACACAAGTTTCGTAAACGTGACTCCCATCTCATCACGTTCTACAGCGGGAGTACCAAGACACAAATAGACTTTGTACTCATCAGGCATGGCGACCAAGGACTCGTGACAGACGCTAAGGTAGTACCGTATGAAACGGTTGCCACGCAGCACCGCCCACTGATCTGCACGCTCAGACTTGTAGCTCCCAGACCGAGGCAGGCAGCTGTGATTTCTCGTATTCGACTACCTGAAGTCACAACTGTTCAGGAGACCTGGAACGAAGCCGTTAATTCTATAATCCAGGCCGCCCGCTCCGAACTCGGCACAACGAAGCCTGGACGGCGGAGGATTGACAAAGAGGCATGGCTCTGGACGGACGACGTCAAAGCGAAGGTTCGAGAAAAGAAGAGACTCTATCACGCGTTTCTCGAGCACAAGTCGGCTGACAACTGGCGGCAGTATCGGGAAGCGAGGAATGCGGCAAAGACGGCCGTGGCTGCTGTGAAGGCCGCTCACTTCGATGATATCAGCAAGAAGCTGGAGACGCGCGACGGTGAGCGGTACCTGTACGGACTTGCCAAATCTCGTCATCGCCAAACCGAAGACATTGAGAAGTTTTTTGGCATAAGTGATGAGAATGGCCACCTTCTGATGGACCGAAAAAGGGTATTGCAACGATGGCGTGAATACTTCGAGGGCATCTCAATCGCCCATCCCGCTATACCCTGTACCGCACCAACATATGGCCCGTTCAGAAGATCACCGTACAGGAAACAGAAGCTGCTCTGAGGAAGATGAAGGCCGGCAAAGTAACAGGCCCCGACGACATCGCAGCTGATTTGTGGAAGTCACAACGCTGGTTTCCTGCGGGTTGGTTGACGAAACTCTTCAACCAGATCGTCGAAGAGTGCCCAATGACTGGCAGCAGAGCGTGACGATCCCGATTTGGAAGAAGAAGGGCAGCCCGGCAGATTGCTCGAACTACCGTCCAATTCGCCTTCTCTCGCACACTATGAAAATCTTCGAGCGAATTGTTGACGCCCGTGTTCGTGATATCGTCCAGCTTTCCACCAATCAGTGTGGCTTCGTGGCGGGTTGTAGCACCGTCGACGCCATACATGCCGCTCGCCTATTGCTGGAGAAACACCGTGAGAAGCGAAAGCCCGTGCATGTAGCTTTCTTAGACCTGGAGAAGGCATTCGATCGTGTGCCGCGTGGTGTTGCTTTGAGGCGGCACGGCGTGCCCGAAGAGCTAATTGAGTGGGTGCGCATCCTTTACTCATGCCCAGGGAGCCAAGTTCGCTCACCAGCGGGTGTCTCAATGGAGTTCCCCATCACCGTCGGTTCGTTGCCGTCATGGATGCCATCTCACGAGATCTTCAGAAGGAAGTGCCTTGGACCCTGCTTTACGCTGATGATGTGATGCTTGCTTGTGAAGATAAGAGCGCACTGGAACAGCAGGTGCAAGCTTGGGCCGAGCGTCTGGCGAATTTGGACTCAGGTTGAACGTCACAAGACTGAGTACCTGACAACCGATGAGCCGGGCTCCATTAAGATCGATGACACGGTGCTCAAGCGCACGGAAACATTCAAGTATCTCGGATCAGCACTTGCGTCCGATGGCAGTCTGAACTCGGAAGTGAGCGCACGAGTGAGTGCGGCATGGTCTAAATGGCGATCCATGTCTGGGATCCTTTGCGACAAGAAAATGCCAGAGCGTTTCAAGTCAAAGATCTATCGTACTGTCGTCCGACCTGTCGCGTTATATGGTGCCGAGTGCTGGCCCGCGACCAAAGAAGTTGAGGCTCGCCTTGGTGTGATGGAGATGAAGATGTTGCGCTGGACGGCGGGCGTCACGCGATCGGACCGCATTTGTAACGATGTCGTGCGCAAGAAGTATGGTGTAGCCCCCATAGCAGAGAAATTGCGTGAAACGCGCCTTCGATGGTACGGGCACGTACTTCGCGCGAAGGCTGACACCGTCCGGAAAACTGCTCTCGAAGACGAGGTAAGGGCGTCCCAAACAGCGCTGGCTCGACTACTGCATTCCAACTTCAAAATAGCCGGCATTCACCCCGAAAGTGGCGTAGTTATATCAAAAAGGCGGACCCCGCCATCGAGCGGGACAAACGCTGAAGGAAGAAGAAGAAGA